TTATACGTAATTACTACTCATAATTACAAATATCCTATTGCATGGTTTGTCCATTCTATTTTAGGAATGTTATTATATACAATTGAGAAGAACAAATCAATATAATTAAGGTGACAAACTAATCCCTAATTCACATTTTCACGTGTAAACCACTTGTTGCTTCTCCTAGTCATCTAATGCTAATTTTAGTGTGAATGATTTGGTTTCTTGTGTAAATAGGGTGACAAGGCACAAGTAATACAGACATTGCTTTTTGTAGCTGGTATTAACACACTTCTACAAGCACTTTTTGGAACAAGACTTCCTACTGTAGTTGGAGGTTCGTTTGCCTATGTAATTCCAATTGCTTATATTATTAGTGACTCGTCCTTGCAACGAATTAGTGATCCTCATGAAGTAAGTTCCCTACTCCTATTCAATTTTTGCATTTTTAAGAACATAAATTTAAATTTTGGCTTTTGATTCTTAACATTGTTGTATTCTTTCTCCCTGCCTGAATTTTGGATATGTGATGAATATGCTTTGAATGCTTTCTTGAAACCACCATTCTAAGAGGTCAATAGAATCCAACATTTAATATTTTGAATTGTTGGGTTGATGAAAATATTACATCTTGAAAAGTCCCACATCACATTGGATAAGCAATAGAGTGAGTGATAGTAGCTATATAATGGGCTTAAAGTCTATGATATTTCTCACCCTAGTCAAAGACACTTTAAACTTGTATTTGACTTTTCTTATACTCTTGTAGTAGAGTGTTGTGAGGTTTAATTTAAATTCTTACTTTGGAGAGTGTGGGTGTACTTGGGGTCAAGAGCAAGAGAGAGTTGTCTATGTATTGTAAAAATTTTCACATAGTGTTATTCTCTGGTTATCATTAGATAACGGTCGTGGTTTTTCTCTAGTTTTTGGAGTTTCCATGTTATATTCTTGTGTTAATTCTTTTTCTCTTATTTATCTATTAGTAGGATAATTCTCGGGGATAAATGGTAATGTTCTTTATGACGTTTTTTCCCATCAGAGTGGTATCAGAGCTTATGGTTCAATAAGATTTTTCTTAGTATGCTCTATGGTTGCAGCTTAGTATGATTTTCCACATCAGAAAAGATTAATTCCTTATTGTTAGAGAATCATCCTTGGTTACTGAAGTTGCAATGTCATTTGCAAGTGCTATCATATGTGACATAGAGATGTGTTGATATAATCTGGATTACACAAGGTGTTGGAAATAAGAACTTTTGACATGGAGTTAAGTATTCTCATAGCATAATCGCATTGTCATGGAAAATGGTGAGTTTTTGCTAGCGGTAATTGTGCAAGGGCATTGGCTAATATTGACGCAGGGTGTGTGGTAATTATACACGGGCATTGGTTAACATTGATGTAGGTATGTACGGACATTGACTAATATTGATGCAAGGTATGTGGTGATTATACACGAGCGTTGGTTAGCATTGATGCAAGTGTGCTGTGAAAGGAAATTCTTGGAATGGTTTAATTTCAAGTGAGTATACTCTTTATGATGGAGTATGGATGATTGTTGGTGTAGGCAATGAAGATGAAAAGGAAGATGTGTTTATTTAATTCATGGTGGAGATTGTTCGGTTGATGAAAATATTACATCTTGAAAAGTTGCATATCACATTGGATAAGCAATGGAGTGGGTAACAGTAGCTATATAATGGGCTTAAAGTCCATGATATTTCTCACCCAAATCTAAGACACTTTAAACTTGTATTTAACTTTTATTATACTCTTGTAGTAGAGTATTGTGAGGTTTAGTTTAAATTTTTCTTTGGAGAGTATGTGTGTACTTGGGGTCAAGGGCATGAGAGAGTTGTCTATGTGTTGTAAAAATTTTCACATAGTGTTATTATCTGGTTATCATTAGATAATAGTCGTGATTTTTCTCCAGTTTTTGGAGTTTCCACGTTTTATTCTTGTGTTGATTGTTTTTCTCTTATTTCTCTATTAGTAGGATAATTCTCGAAGATAAATGGTAATGTTCTTTATGACGTTTTTTCCTATCATGAATGAACATCGATCAATATAAATTTGAAGTAGATAAGAGGATTTTAATTGTAGATATGCTAATCATTGATCAATTAGAAAGGTTCTTCTTAATATTTATAAACTACATTGAATCCATATTATGAGATGTAGAATCCCATGATTTTAAGCACCATGGTTATGGTTGTAAATAGACCTCTTCAAGAGTTTTGGATATGTGATAGATGATGGATATGCTCTAAATGCTTTTTTTTTTTTTGGAAAACAACCATTCTAAGACGTCATAGAAGCCAAAATTTGATATTTTTCACAAACATCAATCAATAATAATTCTAAATGGAATAGGGGGATTATATTTGTAGATATGCTAATTGTTGATAAGCTAGTTAGTATTTATGAACTTTGTCAAATCCATATGACGAGGTTTATATGACTGGTAAAATCCAAGGTTTTAAGCATAATTTATTGGATGATTCCCAAATCATCAAGCTTGACTTTAGTCTCAATATTGAGTAAGTTTTCGGGTTTTAGTATAACATCTAGTGACATGTGAACCTAATGTTTGGATAGTTGATATTGGTGTGAATCATAAATTATTTAGTCCCATTTAGACAAATCATGAATTGATTTGTTTTCTTCTAATGTATATAATATCATTAAAATAGGTTGACAAATAAGATAATAGAATATTTGTAGTTATGAAAAATAAATATTTGTAAATGGTCCTCTTTGATAGAATGAATAACAAGATAGAAAGGCATCCACCACTTTACATACTTTTGGGTGTGTTTGTTTTGTCCTTTTACTGCAGCTTGAAGAGTATAAATTTAGGGCATAATTTGTTCAGTGTGTATTTATGGGGTCACTCTCATATGAATTTCGTAGTTATGATACTTTTCTTATCATTTTCGTATCCCCAAGTTTTCTACCTTGTCTCAATCTATTAGATGTTTCAAACTTGACATCACATATGTTTGACGATGCCATCCCCCCTTTCAACATTGATCTACCACTTGTTTCTATACAGGTTGCACCTACACAATCTAGTAGAATGCCTTGAGCACCTAATAGACATTCACCAAATTGGTTTAGCTCCTCCCATATTTCCTTGATTGCTTCTCTCTCTAGCACACCTATTCCTACTTGTTAATCATAAATCGTTAAAGATGTGCATTGGTAAAGGCAATGAACAATGAACTTTGGACCCTTTAAGAAAATTCCATGTGAGATATTGTCTCTTGTCTGATCAAACCCATAGGCTGCAAATGTGTGTATTTGCTGAAACTAAATTGTCATGGTTCTCTTAACCATCACAAGATTCAATCAGTTCCCTTAGGTCATAAGCAATAATATGGAATTGATTATGATGAGGGATTTACACTTGTCGCCAAAAATAAAAGTTATCAGAATTGTCCTTTCTATAGCTACCTTTAATGAGTGGTCTCTTTATCAAATGGATGTGAAGAATGTATTTCTTCACGGTACACTAACTAAAGATATTAACATAACTCCTCCTTAGGGTTTCTTTGCTTCATCTATGGGCTTGTGCAAGCTCAAACTCTTGTTATATGGTTCAAAATAGGATCCAAAAGCATGGTTTAACAAGTTTGGTTCCACTTTGTGTGGCTTCTCCTTTCCTCACAATCAATATGAATCCTCTTTGTATATCCACCATACGTTATAGTCATTGTTTTTCTACTTCTTTTATGTTAATGATATGATTATTAAAGACTCTAATCGGGTATATATATGTAAACAAGAATTAAATATTGCATTTCATATGAAAGATCTTGGTTACTTGCACTATATCTCTTTGGCCTAAAGGTTCATTCTACCTTTGATGGTACATTTCTTCATTAATATAAATATACCACGATTTTGATCTCTATAGTTGGCCTTCAATCAGTTAATCTGATGGGTACTCGTCCTGAAGTTAATATTACATATCACTCTGATGAAGGTGATATTTTGATTGATCTTTTATTATATTGAAAACTCATGGGTAGTCTAAATTATTTTACCATTACACGATTTGACATGTTTGCTACTCATTGGGTGAGTTAATTTATGCATTATCCTCATGTCCTACACTTGGCAGCGGTTCCTTGTATAATTTGGTACTTGAAAGGTGCCTCTCAACGAGGTCTATTCTTTCCCATTGGGATAACTCTTAAATTGATTGTTTATAGTGATGTTGATTGGGTTGAGTGTTTTGATATTTAGTGATCAATCATTGGTTTGTACACTTTCTTGACTCCGTGTTGATCTCATGGAAAAGTAAAAGTAAGAAGCAAACACGAATCTCTAAATCATCTGCCAAATGAGAGTATTGTAATATGTCTAGTGCTTGTTTTGGAATGAATGACTTTGTGGTCTTTTGGTTGAATTTGAATTTCCTCAAACGAATAAACACCTTTTTATGCTAATAATACAAGGTGTTATTAAAATGTTTGCAAATTTGACATTCCATAAGTGAACCATACCAAACATATTGAAGTAGATTATCACTCTATTCGTGAGGCTTATAATGACCATGTTATATCAACCCCTCACAACAATACTCAGTTTCAAGTTGCAGTTATTCTTACAAAGGTTGTCCTCGCCTATACCATCAGTTTCTTGTTAGAAAATTTATGCTCCATGACCAGTCACATCAATTTGAGGGGATGTGAATTAGGAATTATTTTGTCTCTTCAATTGTATTCATTTGCTTTCCTAAGATTAGACTAAACAAATCATGAATTATTTGTTTAGGGTTTATGCTTTAAGATCCAGATAATAATTATGATGGTAATTACGTTATAGGACAGGTAACAATGTAGAAAGGCATCAACCCATTTTCACTAACAATTGGCAATCTACAATAATTTGGTGATCTTCCAAAAAATTATTTAATTTTTCTTTAAAATATATATCAAATAATTTCTTATTTGGTAGGGTATTGAAAGAGATCTTGCAATGTGATTGGTTTGCAGAGATTTTTACGAACCATGCGAGCTATACAAGGAGCTCTAATTGTCGCCTCAAGTATTCAGATAGTCCTGGGTTACAGCCAAATATGGGGTCTTCTCTCAAGGTATTTTAGTTGCATGAAATTTGTTTGAAATTTGAAAATAATAAAATAAATGTTCATGCATCTACTATTATGTGTATTTCTCCAGATTTTTCAGTCCTCTTGGCATGGCACCTGTTATTGGATTGGTTGGATTAGGGTTAATTCAACGAGGATTTCCTGCGGTAGGTGTGGCTCAATCCATTTTTTTAAGTGGTTGTAAACGTTTACAAAATGATCTAAGAGCACTACTATTTGAATGTCTATCATAGAAGAAAAGTTATTCTGTATGAACAATAAATAAAATTAAATTCAGGAACATGTAGTTAAATCCATCTCCTGAAGTTGTCAGCTATTTTAAATGATAGTAAATTTTCTATGCTGATGTTTAGATATATGCTTTTAACTTCTAAAATTGATGGCTTCAACTAGTGGGTTTATTTTCCTTTTCTTTTTGGGGGGTTGATAAGCATCTTAGCACTTGGGAACCAAGTACATAAATATCACCTTTGGTTAAAATCCCTCGTAGTACAGCCCTTCTCGAGACATCGACAACTGGCTCTGATATCATTTGATAAGCATCTTAGTACTTGGATATCTCACCATAAAATGATAGCAGTTAAGAGAAGAGAACCAAACACTTCTACTCGCAATAGTGTGGATAAAGTTTTCTTGAGAAAAATTATTTGATTAACCATGTTCACTATAGCTTGATGGAGACAATGTTTCCACAGTATTTTACATAATTTTCTTTATTACTCTTGGTTTCAGTTGGGGAACTGTGTAGAAATTGGCATACCAATGCTGTTGTTGATTGTTGGGTTGTCACAAGTAAGTTATTTAGTATAATCAGGATGTGGTGTTTATCAAGTTATTAATATTTTCCTTCACAAGCTATTTGGTGTAATTTGCAGTATCTAAAGCACCTAAGGCCGTTGAGAGACATTCCTATCTTTGAGCGTTTTCCAGTTTTGATTTGTGTTACAATTGTTTGGATATACTCTGTCATCTTGACTGCCAGTGGAGCTTATCGGCATAAACCTACCATAACACAGAACAGTTGTCGCACAGATAGAGCGAATCTGATATCTACTGCGCCGTGGTACCTTAAAAAACTAAGTTTGTATCATCTAATTTGGTCTTAGTTTTGGTGAGTTCTCAGCCTTTTTTTTTTTTTTTAAAACTAATAGGTTCATGTTCCCATACCCTCTCCAGTGGGGTCCACCCACATTTTCTGCTGGTCATTCATTTGCAATGATGTCTGGAGTTATTGTATCAATGGTGGAGGTATCTATTTTCGTTCCCAGTAGTCTTTTATTCTATTCCCTTCCCACTTCTCACTAGTCAAGCAAGACAACTGTAATTGGGGTTTGCTTCTGCCTCATCTTCAGAATTATTCTGTAACTACAGTATGACAGTGTTCTCATTTTGAAATCTGATTAAGTGGTCGTAAAGTATTTTATCACAATCATTTTTAGAAAGAGACAAAGTAATACTTTAAGACGGGATTTATAATCACCACAAGAATCCCTCTCCCTTCATTTTGGTGAATTTCCATTAATGGCTTGATCATGTACTTCTCATGCAGTCTACTGGTGCATACAAGGCAGCTTCTCGTTTGGCAATTGCTACTCCACCTCCTGCTTATGTGTTGAGTCGTGGCATTGGTTGGCAGGTAAGTTTACTTTATTCAGGGAAATGTTTGGACAAACTTCTTCATAAGTATTTCTAAAGAGAAGAATAAAAAAAAATAGTTTTTTCATTAATTAAATTTAGCTTATGCATATGTTAAAAAATAAAAATTTAGAGAAATCATGAGAGAGTTTCTACAATTAGCTTATGCATAATAAGTTAATTTTAACATTTGGAGAAAATTATTCCTTTTTTTTTTAATAATAATTATAGATGTGTTTGAGAGCTTAGTTTGTTTATTTTAAAAAGGGGATTGGTATCTTGCTTGACGGTCTCTATGGAACTGGGACGGGTTCCACTGTTTCTGTGTAAGTTCCCTTAATACTAGTTGGTCCCTGTTCATGACCATTATATCCTTCTGTGGTACCTTGATGAGCTTTATTGGCTGGTTATTCCAGGGAAAATGTGGGACTCCTTGGTCTAACCCGAGTTGGAAGTCGCAGAGTTGTTCAAATATCAGCTGGTTTTATGATATTTTTCTCTACTTTAGGTGAGTGTTGATGATTCAACACAAGTTTTGACAATGAAAGCAATCTAGTTCCAAATCACTTGATCAATCAAAGCTGTTTTGGCTTTTATGACGACAGTAAGCAGTAAGAGAAAAGAAGACATTTTCGCTTACTTGGTATTGTGCTTTGTTTCACTTGTGTTACTGGCAGGAAAATTTGGAGCTGTGTTTGCATCCATACCCTTCCCAATATTTGCTGCAATATACTGTGTTCTCTTTGGCCTTGTTGGTAGGTGGTGAGATTGCAGTATCACAAGTTGTTCCAGCTCCTATATTCACTAATGCTTTTCCATGTTCATCAGCTGCAGTTGGCATATCATTTCTTCAGTTCACAAACATGAACTCTATGAGAAACCTTATTATCACCGGGCTCACACTGTTCCTTGGAATATCTGTCCCTCAATTTTTCAATCAATACTGGACCAGTTCACACCATGGTCCTGTTCATACTAATGCTGGATGGGTGAGTGTTTGCTAATAACTATTGGTCTTTACATTTGTAATCAGCAGAATTGATTTTTTTCCATGATTTCTTATAATCATTAGCTTTCCTAGTTACAATGGGACCGTTGCTTTAGGCTTTCCTAGTTACTATCACCAGGACAAATCATTATCATAATTATAGTAACTAGTGAAGTTAATGATTACAACAAATAAATTATCATCTCTATGTTGTCATTGTTTTAATTAGTAATTTTGTCTAAATGCCGTGGACGCTACATTTTGGTAATTGCAGTTCAATGCTTTCTTAAACACCATATTGTCATCCCCGGCTACAGTTGGTTTGATCGTGGCAGTGTTCCTTGACAACACTCTTGAGGTTGAAAGGTCGAAAAAAGACAGAGGGATGCCTTGGTGGGTGAAGTTTAGAACATTTAGAGGAGACAACAGAAATGAAGAATTTTACGCTTTGCCTTTCAATCTCAACAGGTTCTTCCCACCTACTTGATGGAGAATGAGAGCCAGCCAGGGTCGTTTAGGTTTTCTTTGAGTTGCACATGCCAGAATTCATGATGACTAACAAATGCTACTCTTCCTTTACCATCACCCAATTTTTTTGTTGACCATCTAAAACCTTGGTCCAACAGAGGATTGTAAAGCATTTGGGACTATGCTGTGTAGGTTCAATAAAGTAAAGTTTTCTCTACTCCCTTTGTCTGTGGGTACGAGATTGCCATAGCCCTTCAAAGTAGAATCAGAAGTAAATATTTCTATTTATGATAAATAGCTTGTATGCCAACAATTGGATTTAGTCAATTTACTTAACTATTCATAGCTTGGTTCGGATCGTGAGTGTGCCTATGGTTTGAATAACATGTTTAAACTTGGGTGTTTCTTCCTATATCCTATATAATTCTTGATATTATAGGTGTCCATATGTTATTAAAAAAATTTATGGGTAGTTTTATTTTTGATTTATTTTCATATCAATGGTATAATTGTTATTAATTTTGAATTATGTTTGTCTAAGGTTTGTCGATATGAATAAAAGTACGTGGGTAGCTTTTTACTTTTAAAAATTGTTGGAATAAAGATATTTGATTAACTAAATTATAGGTTTGTATAATGGTACAAAATATTATATAATCGAAATTTCCTTTATTTAGTCCTGATTTATTGGAGTAAAATATTATAAGATCATAATATCTGTGTAAAAAAATAATATGAATAAAAATTAGAGAATGAATTTTATGTTTTTTAATTTGGTACCAGAGTTTATAATTATTTTCTTTTTCTTTCTAAATCTTTGGAGATCTTAATTGGAGAGATGATAGAAAAACTAATTCCAATGGTTGTTTAATCTGAAGGTGTCTTCAACGTAGGGATCATCCTAAATGAATCCAATTATGTTGTATGGTCATAACTAACGGAGATGCACATTGCAGAGAGGGAAAAATTGTCCTACATTCCTGGGAAGGTGAAACCTCCAACAGAGAACGATGAGGGATATGAAAAATGATATGTTGAAAACTAAAAAGTGAAAAGATGGCTATTGATGTCCATGAAGCCAAAAATCATGAAAATGTATCTTTGCTTACCCACTGCCCTCGATATTTGGAATGTTTTGTCAAAGTCATTTTATGATGGAAGTGATGAGTTACAGGTGTTTGCCCTGAATCAAAGGGCATTCACTGCAAAACAAAATAATAGAACCTTAACTGAATATTATGGGGAGTTGGTTGAGATTTTTAGGGAAGTCGACCATCGTGAAAAAGTAGTCATGAAGGACCCTGATGATGTGAAGTCATATCAGAAGTCCATTGAAAGATTAAGGGTGCATATATTCTTTACTAGACTGGATGATGATTTTAAGTAAGTTCTTGGAGAAATCTTGCGCAAGGAAGTGACACCTGATTTAGAAGAATGTTATGCATTGATCCGGAGTGAAACAGTTCGACGAACAACGTTAAAAATAGAAGATATGATTTATGATTCCACATCTATGATGACAAAGAAATAGCCAACAAATTATTACAGCAAATCGAAGCAATCAAAAGATTTTGAAAAAGGTAACTACAAGTGTACTCAGTGTAATAAGGATGGACACACCAATGAACGATGCTATGAAATCATAGGATACCCCGAGTGGTGAGATCACAGTCGAGCATCAAAGAAGAATTCAAAAAGAAATTCAACTGCTGTTGCTGTAACTGCCATTGACAAAGAGGATGACAAAGGCATGATGTTTGCTACAATCACAGGTATTGATGATTCCAATGGTAACACTTTAATAAGCACACTACCGTTCTGAATAATGCATGGATAATTGACTCTGCGTGTTCCGATCATGTGACTTTTGATGTTAGACAGATTAAAAATCTTAAACCTTCATCACAAAAAAGTATTTCCACAACCAATTGTAGTAAATCCACTATTATTGGAGAAAGAACTATCTCTATTTCAAATAATTTGAATCTTGATACTGCCTTTGTTGTTCCTTCTCTTAAATATAACCTATTGTCAGTCTCGCAAATAACCAAAGCTCATTTATGTGTTATAATTTTTGTGCCTGACTCTTGTGTTTTTAAGGACATTCAAACGAGAAAGACGATTGACTATGGTATTAGGCGAGGAAGGTTGTATTACTTGGACTTGACAGAAAAAGATTCAAAGAGACTTGGTCAGTGCTAGCAACAAAAGGGTCTTAAGAAGTAAGAAAAGACGAGGATATTTGGTTATGGCATAAGCGTCTAGGACATGCATCTTTTGGTTACATAAAGAAATTATTTCCAAATGTATTTGACCAAGTAGACACTTCAACTTTTTATTGTGATGTTTGAGAGCTTGCAAAGAGTCATAAAACATTTTTTCCTTTAATTTCAAATAAAAGTTCTCTTCCTTTTATGATCATTCACCCTGATGTATGGGGTCCATCTAAGGTTACAACGTTGGGTGGCTCAACGTGGTTTGTAACATTTATTGATGATTGTACTCGAATGACTTGGTTATGTTTGATGAAGTCTAAAAGTAAAGTTGGAGGACTATTTCAGAAATTCTGCAAAATGATTGAGACCTAGTATAAAGCACAAGTTCAGGTACTGTGTAGTGACAACAGAGGAGAATATATGCAATCATAACTTCAACATTTTTTAGTAGCCAAAGGAATTGTTCATCAGAGATCTTGTCCAAATACTCCACAATAGAATGGGGTGGTAGAATGAAAGAACCGTCATCTATTGGAGATGGTCCGAGCTGCACTGATTGGAGCTCACATGTCAGCAATATATTGGGAAGAAACTCTCACATATGCAGTATACACTATCAAACGAACACCGTCCAGGTCTCTTGAGTATAAAACACCTATTCAATCACTTATAGATCCAGTAGTAAGTCCTAAAATTGCTGAACTAACACAGAGTTTTTGGTTGTGTTGCTTATGTTCACTTACACAAGCATCAGAGAAGTAAGTTGTCTCCTAAAGTTGAAAGGTGTGTGTTCCTTGACTATGCGGATCACCAGAAAGGATATCGGTGCTACAATCCACAAACCAAGCAAATGTTTACTACTATAGATGTAGTTTTTCATGAAACCTTGATATATTTTTCCCCCGAGTCTGAAATTCAGGGGGAGACTTATGATGAAGTTCAGACTTTTGTTCCTCAAGAAATTGATATTGAGGTCAGATTGGAGAAAGAAAGTTACAAAGTTGTATCAGGAGATGATGAAAGTATGCAACAATGTTATGATCAACAACCACATAATGAAGAAAATTTTGAGCATGTTGAGATAAAAAATTTGCCTGTTGATGCTGATGATATACCACATCAATCGTCTCCTCAAGAACCTAATACAGAAAAAAGAATTCTGCCAGATCGTGTTACTAGAGGTATCCCTAAGTCTACTTATGATCCCGACCTCACCAGTAAGACAAGATACCCTATGAGTAATTATATTTGTAACCAGAATTTGTCTAACTCAAATATCGCATTTATAAGTCAATTATCTACTGTATCTATTCCTAACAGTGTGCATGAAGCTTTAGCTGATTCCAGGTGCTATGAATGAGGAGATGAGATCCTTGCAAAGAAATAAAACATGAGAATTAGTAGATTGTCCAATTGGAAAGAAACCAGTAGGATGCCGATTGGTGCATACTGTGAAATTTAATGCAGATGACACAATTGAGAGATTCAAAGCTAGATTGGTGGCAAAGGGGTACACACAAGCATATGGAATAGATTACACTGAAACGTTTGCTCCCGTAGCCAAAATTAGTACAGTTCGAGTATTGTTATCTCTAGTTGTAAACCTTGATTGGTCCTTACAACAATTTGACATAAAAAATGCCTTCTTACACAAGGAATTGTCTGAAGAAGTTTATATGGAGCTTACTAGAAGGATGTGGGATCCTGAATACACATAGCAAGAAGGTATGCAAGTTGAATAAGTCATTGTATGGACTAAAACAATTGCCACGAGCATGATTTGGTAGATTCACCAAGTCAATGCTTGCTTTTGGATATCAATAGAGCAACCAAGATCATACATTGTTTTTAAAGAAAAAGAAAGGAAAGATTACAATTCTTATTGTCTATGTTGATGACATGATAGTTATGGGAAACGATCTAGAGGAACGCAAGACATTGAAAGAGTACTTAGCAAATAAATTCAAGATGAAGGATCTTGGTCCTTTGAAATAATTTCTTGGAATTGATGTCTCAAGATCAAAGTCAAGTATTTTTCTCTCACAACGAAAGTATGCATTGGATTTACTGAAAGAAACTGGAATAACAACATGCAAACCATCAAATTCTCCAATTGAAGAGGGATTGAAGTTGTGCATTGAAGAAGATCAAACTCCAACTAACGAGGGAAGATATCAGAGACTTGTAGGGAGATTGATGTATCTCTCACACATTAGGCCAGATTTAGCTTATGCTCTTAGTGTGGTTTGCCAGTTCATGCACAATCCAAGTGAAAAACACATGGATGTTGTTATACAGATTTTAAGGTACATAAAAGCTGCTCCTGGAAAAGAAGTTATGTTCAAGAAGAATTTCAACTACAAGGATGTGATGGTTTATACTGATGCATATTGGGCAAGTGCTATTGATGATATAAGATCAACCTTTGGATACTTTACATTTGTAGGAGGTAATCTTGTCACATGGATGTTAAATTATTGGCAAGCGTACCAAAATTATCAATCGCAGTATAGTATTTTGATTAAATAAAAGTCAATCCCACGAGGAACGATTTCAATGAAAATTCCCAATTATGCTTACTAAGTGGATTAAAATAGATTGGGTTTTGCAATAAGAGTTGAATTGAAATTAAATGACAAAGAACTGTAAATTGTTGAGAAAATATCAATTAAAGGCACTTATGATTGATTTCCTTCCTTATCCCTCTTTTGTAATGACTATGTCACTTAAGAACGTCAATTAACCTAACAATGTTGATGCCACCTACTCAAATCATCCATGTTGATTCCTCACACATGAAATT